TCATACCCAGAGTGTCACATAAACCAGCTTTAGATAATTAAATAATGAAATGGGACTTAGGGGCTGATGATTTTTAGATGACATTTTGGATTTTGAGTTGATTTTGCAATGGGTTCAGAGTCTGTCGGACCTTGGGATAGGCTGAATGTATTTTACACGAGACAGATGTGAATCTTTGGGGCTCAAAGGGAAGACTGTGGTAGACTGAAAAATGCCCCCAACCCTGCCCAAAGACATCCATGTCCTAATCCCTATAACCTAGAAATACGTTACCTTATATTCAAAAGGAAATTTACATTTCCTTTTGTATTAGAGAATTAGTTTGTATTAAAGTATTAAAGGATTACTTTAAAAGAAGTATTTTGAGATGGGAAGATTATCCTGAATTACCCAGCAAGGCTTGACATAATCATAAGGGTCCTTATAAGAAAGAAGCAAAGGTCGAAGAGGAGGCAATGTGACACAAGACGGAAGGAGAGAGAAAAGACAACATGATGCATAGCTATGATCCAAGGACTGAGGATGGCCTTTAAAAGCCAGAAAAGGTGATAGTTCGCAAGGACAGAAAACCAAACACCGCATGATTCTCACTCACAAGTGGGAACTGAACAATGAGAATACTTGGACACAGGGTGGGGAACATCACACACCGGGACCTGTTGTTGGGTAGGGGGACAGGGGAGGGATAGCATTAGGAGAAATACCTAATATAAATGATGAGTTAATGGGTGCAGCACACCAACACGGTACATGTGTACATATGTAACAAACCTGCACGTTGTGCACATGTACCCTAGAACTTAAAGTATAATAATAAAAAAAAGCCAGAAAAGTCAAGAAGGTGGATTCCCCCTGGAGCCTACCGAAGGAACCAGCCCTGCTGACAACATAACTTTAGCCCAATTGGGTGGATTTTGGTTTTCTGACCTCTAGAACTGTAAAACAATAAATACGTGTTGTTTTAAGCTACTAGATTTGTGGTAACTGGTTACCTAAGCAACAGGAAACTAACAAGAATAGATACTAATTATAAGTGAATACTTAGGTAATAGTATGATCTGTAATCTATACTTTACAAAGTATTTTATAAATATATACTAAATATGAATATACAAATCCTAACTGCCCCATTAGAAGTTCTTAAGTTTGTTACACAAAGACAACTATAAAAATTACATATTAGTGCAGGTATGCATATATTGGCTTTCAAATTTGAAGGCAGAAGAGAGAAAAAGAATGATACTTAGTACAAGGGATCAAGAGTCTGTTTCTGACTATGTCTGTGTCTCATAAAAAAGATTATTGTAAGTACACTTAAAATTGAATTTAAGCCACTTAATTATGGTGGCAACTGTGTTTTTCATCTTTATTTGTCACACCATTCTGCACAATGTTGGTGTTCTATAAATGTTCGCTGATTAAATAACTGACAATATATTTAAAAAATGAATTGAGAAAAAGTTACAGCCTTAGCCAGGTTTTATTGTGAATTAGATACAACTTTATTTCAAATTAGTCTAGAAGGAATTGATGCTAAAATAAAACGATGATTATTCAAGTAGAAGTTTTTAAAAGTCCTCATAAGGTAAAACCAAAAATATATGCATATATACATATATACATAGGAAGGTTTAAGATGCAGGTGGGCACACACACAAAATCAGTGTGTTTCACTGTAACAATAAAAAAATACATTTATAAAAATCATACCTGTCCTTAAAGTTGATGATATGGTTTGGCTGTGTCCCCACCCAAATCTCAACTTCAATTGTATCTCCCAGAATTCCCACATGTTGTGGGAGCAACTCAGGTGGAGGTAATTGAATCACGGGGGCCAGTCTTTCCTGTGCTGTTCTTGTGATGGTGATTAAGTCTCGCAAGATCTGATGGGTTTATCAGGGGTTTCTGCTTTTGCTCCTTCCCCATTTTCTCTTGCTGCTGCCGTGTAAGAAGAGTCTTTTGCTCCCTGCCATGATTCTGAGGCCTTTCCAGCCATGTGGAACTGTAAGTCCAATTAAACCTCTTTTTCTTCCCAGTCTCGGGTATATCCTTAGCAGCAGCATGAAAATGGACTAATACAGTTGAAGAGATCTGTACACAAAGATAAATAAGTGTAACTCCAGAGAGAGATGAGCCCTGATGGCTGCTTTCACCACTGGGGCATGAGTAGGCAGAAGAGCTAGCCTGCTACTGGCAAAGACATTTTGTTGAAATAAGAAGAAATGAGCCACACTTGTATCAGCCAAGTATGGGCTGGCATGGCAGATTGGAAAATGGAGAAACAGAGCTAACCCTCACTGCCAGCCAATTCTCCTTCATAATATTTTTGCTTACAAATGCTGGTGGTGGTAGAAGCTGGTAAGTGGATGGAAAGCAGAAAGATATCCTGTTATCTCACATGGTTAGATCCCAAACTCTGCTGCAGGGCTAGATCTCACCATCAAGAGGAAATCAGATGTGAAATCCAACTCAACTCCTGATTAGAACAAAAAGATCTGGCCTAGTCACCTTAGTAGCCAGATGGTGGAAAGCATAAGGCTTTCTGGGGATAAATTTTATCTACCTCAGTCTTTGTCCATTCACTCTCACACACACACACACACAAGTGAAGAAGCAGGAAAAATGTAAGCCATGATTACGAAAGGAAAACAACAACAACAAAAGAACACTAGATAACTACGTGGTTGGAATTAACAGACAAGTACTTTAAAATAACCATCACCAGGCCAGGCGCGGTGGCTCACACCTGTAATCCCACCAGCATTTTAGGAGGCCGAGGTGGGTAGATCACGCAGTCAGGAGATCGAGACTATCCTGGCTAAGACGGAGAAACCCCGTCTCTACTAAAATAATACAAAAAAATTAGCCAGGTGTGGTGGTGTGCGCCTGTAGTCCCAGCTACTCCGGAGGCTGAGGCAGGAGAATGGCATGAACCTGGGAGGCGGAGGTTGCAGTAAGCCGAGATCATGCCACTGCACTCCTGCCTAGAGGCAGAGCGAAACTCTGTCTCAAAAAAAAAAAAAAAAAAAAAGATACTAGATGAGAATTTTCCAAAATGCTTGAAAGATATTAACCTAACACAGTAAATCCCGAAGCAGAAAAATAGATAGGAAGTCATATGTAGGTCAAATTGCTGAAAACCAGAAATAAAGGCAATAACCTGACCTCTTTAAAAAAGTCCTAGGACAAAAAAGAAAAAACAAAAAACAAAAAACCTAACCACCTAGACAGGAGGGATAATAAAATTACACTATTAAAAAGTCACTAAATGTTTCACAAAGTTGTATAATATTTATTCATGATAAAACACGATGAATGAATTATGCATATTAATATGTAATCATTTGAAATCATAAAATGAAACTAAATACAAACAAAAAATAAAATGTAACACGCACACAAAATAAAAACAACAAACTTCAATTTTCAAGCAAAACAAATAAAAACTTGATGAGGAAAATGGAAAATAAGTTAAAAAATGATATAATTAGGCCCAAGAATGTCAGTTATTATTTAATATATTAAATGTAAGTGTATTCAACACTCCAACTGAGAAGACAAAGACTAAATCTGGTTTTTAAAAAACAGACCCAACTTCATGCTGCTTATGAGATGTACAATTAACATAAATACATAGAATGAAAGTAAATGATCTACAATGCAAACACTATTCATAAGAAATCTAGTGTGTCTATATTAATATTATGAAAAGTAAACTGTAAGAGACAAATATCAGTGATAAAGTTGGATATTTCATAATGATAAAATGTTCATTAAAAAAGTACAAAATTGGCCGGGTGCGGTGTTTCACGCCTGTAATCACAGCACTTTGGGAGGCCAGGCGGGTGAATCACAAGGTCAGGAGTTTGAGACTAGCCTGGACAACATGGTGAAACCCCGTCTCTACTACAAACACAAACAATTAGCTGGGCGTAGTGGCAGATGCCTGTAATCCCTGCTACTCAGGAGGCTGAGGCAGGAGAATCGCTTGAAAGCAGGAGGCAGAGGTTGCAGTGAGCTGAGATTGTACCACTGTACTCCAGCCCAGGCGACAGAGTGAGACTCTATCTAAAAAAAAAAGTACAAAATTGGTTCTCTGCCTAGACTAATAATATTGACAAATATCTTTTCTCTTGCATAAATTTTCTGAAGGTTTATGAACCCCTTGTGTGTTTACTGACCTCTATTTAGGAACTTCTTTTTTATTGAGACAGAGTTTCGCTCTTTTTGCCCAGGCTGGAGTGCAATGGCATGATCTCAGCTGACTGCAACCTCTACCTCCTGGGTTCAAGTGATTCTGCCTCGGCCTCCCAAGTAGCTGGGACTACTGGTGCACACCACCACATCCAGCTAATTTTTGTATTTTCAGTAGAGATGGGGTTTCACCATGTTGACCAGGCTGGTCTCGAACTCCTGACCTCAGGTGATCCACCCGTCTTGGCCTCCCAAAGTGCTGAGATTACAGGCATGAGTCACCGTGCCTGGCCAGGACCTTCTTTACAAATTCACATTATTTAAAATTCATGCAGCCATAAAAAAGAATGAGTTCATGTCCTTTGCAGGAACATGGATGAAGCTGGAAACCACCATTCTCAGCAAACTAACACAGAAACAGAAAACCAAACACCACATGTTCTCACGCATAAGTTGGAGTTGAACAACGAGAACACATGGACACAGCGAGGGGAACATCACACACTGGGGCCTGTTGGGGGGTGGAGGTAAAGGGAGGAAGAGCATTAGGACAAATACCTAATGCATGCAGGGCTTAAAACCTGGATGACGGGTTGATGGGTGCAGCAAACCACCATGGCACACATATACCTATGTAACAGACCCGCACGTTCTGCACAGGTATCCCAGAACTTAAAGTAAAATAAAAAATAAAAATAAAATAAAATAAATAATTGAATTTTACAGTGGCTTTCAAATACATGATCCTGTCAATCCTTGACAGCCATTTTTATTATTATCTATTCAGTTCTTGCAAGTCCTCTTACCTGAAACTTCACCTTCTGATTCATGTTGGATACGCGGAACTGCTTCAGGAAGCGCTCGTCCTCACTCCAGAAGAGACGGATATCAGGGATGTCGTAAAGGATCATGGCTAGCCTTTCTAATCCTAGGCCAAAAGCCCAGCCGATTCGGTCTTGAGCACCAGCTAGGATTAGGAAACAAAACAAAACAGTTGTTTTTTAAAAGTATTGAGATTGGATAGGCTCATACCACTCCCTGATAGTTATCAGTGACACTAATGAGATGCCTACCAGTGGCCAAGGCACTGGGCAGCCGCTACAAAGACATCCATGAGGCTGCCCAATCTTCCACGCTTTTTCCTCTCCATATTCCCGACTTCCCTCATGGAAGCATTCTGAAGTCACACTGTCTGGAGTACTGTCTTTTGTTTCTGATTAAATCCTAGGCATTCTCAAGCACTGGTTCCTGAACTGAGTTAAGATTTTTCTGTAGTCTTTGCTTGCTCTGATGCAAACATTTAGCCCACTGTATACAGGTTACAGAGCGGAAAGAAATGACGGTCTCTGTCCCTAAGTATAGTAGATAATGAGAGACATTCAAAACGTGCCATACTGGCCATAACATGTTTAGAATGAACTCACATCCAGAAAGTATATATGTCATGCCTTTAAGAACCTCAGCTTTATTAAAACACCATAATGCTTATGCTTAGGAAGAGCTACTTCAGTATTGCAGAGAATACAAGCAAGCCCAGATGAAGGGCATATCTAGCACCACCTACTCCAAAGGTATAGTGTCCTGCTCAGATTGTGTCAATGCCATGAATTAGAAGGGTTTGCTTCGCAGACTGAGGCACTATAGAAGAGAAGACAGAAACTGCAGAATGAAGGCAGGCAAGGGAGCAATTCACACTGCTGGAAAGCTTATGAAATAAGCTCATGAAAGGAATATAATTCCAACTGGACACTAACAGATGAGTAGGATCCTGTGGTAGGCTGAGATGGCCTCTGAGACTCCCACCCCGCACGCACATGCCTTGTGTAAACTCCTCCCATTGAGCTGAGTATAGGTGGGATCTAGGAACAGCATGGGAATTTAAGCCTGTGACTGGTTTACTTTTTATCCAAGACTCCATCCTGGCCGACTGGAGAGAGATCCCCCTCCTGGTTGAAGAGGCCGCATGGCTCGGCCCTTGAGAAGTCCTAAAGGAGCTCAGAGAGGCACCAGCAGCCAGGGAGAAAACGGGAACTTCACTTCTACAGTGGGACGGAACAAATTCTCCCAACAGCCGGAGTGAGCTGATGATAGGACCCCAGCTTCAGAGGAGAACACAGCCCTGCCTCTGCCTTGATTTCAACCTGGTAAGACCCTGATCAGGGGACGCTATCAATCCATAGCCAGACTCCTCATGCAAGGATATTGTGATATAGTCAATTTGTGCTATGTTAGGCCACTAAGTGTAATTTGTTACCCAGAAAAAAGCAAAACAAACAAACAAACAAAAAAAGCAAACAAACGAAAATAACTAATGCAGATTCAAAATGTAGAGAAAGGTGATAGGAAATTCCAGACTGAAGGAGTTTCTTCAATAGCAAAGGGAAGGGATGCAGCATGGGAAGGCTGAGGAGTGGATTCTGGAGATATGGGCAGGACTCATCTCAACGAGCCACAAGAAACATTTTGTTCTCATTTCTACTTTGCATTTAATATTTTCCTAAAACATAAAAAACTTGGCTGGCAGCGGTGGCTCAAGCCTGTAATCCCAGCACTTTGGGAGGCCACGGCTGGCAGATCACGAGGTCAGGAGTTCAAGACCAGCCTGGCCAACAGTGAAACCCCATCTCTACTAAAGATACAAAATTTAGCCAGGCATGGTGGCATGTGCCTGTAATCCCAGCTACTCGGGAGGCTGAGGCAAGAAAACTGCTTGAACCTGGGAGGTGGAGGTTGCAGTGAGCTGAAACTGCACCACAGCACTCCAGCTTGGGCCACAGAGCGAGACTCTGTCTCAAAAACAATAACAACAACAACAACAACAAAAACCCCTTACAACTGTTTCACAAATCCCCATTCACTCTACTGAACCTGAACGTTCATGGAGCCTCAGGATTAGATGTGCAAAGTCCAGGAGGGAAAATGCTTCATTACAAGTGAAACACCAGCACCTGTGGTTATTACTTGGCATCAAGGCAATCATCAAGACAAATGGGAACACAGGCTATAAGTTACAGAGAGATCAAGAGGCACTGGTCATTAGCAAAGAACTTTTTAAAAATTTCCAGCACATCACAGGCTGATAATTTGGTCGCGTATAAAATTATGCACATGACATTCCACTCAACAGCAACATAATGGGCATTCTTTTCAAGTGCACGTGGGTCATTCACCACCACAGACCATACTCTGGAACACAAAATAAATTTCAAATATTTAAAAGGATTGAAATTGTACAAAAATGTTCTATGTCCAAAATGCAAATAAATCAGAAATAAACATAAAAATATCTGAAAAATCTCCCAAATATTGGGAAATTAAACAACATATTTCTCTAAGTAACACATGAGCCAAAGAAGTCATCACAAGGGAAATCAGAAAATATATTTAAATGAATAAAAATTAAGATATGACACATTACAATTGGAACTCGTAAATTATTGGGTGGGAATGATAAAGCCACTGGGGTAGTTTCAAAAACAGTTTGGTAGTTTTTTACAATAAACCAATATTTCTCAACTGGGGGCAATTTTAGCCACCAGGGGACATTTAGTAAGCTCTGAAGACATTTTTGGTGATCAAAACTGGGAGTGGGGAGCATCCTGACATCTAGTGGGTAGAGGCCAAAGATGTTGCTAAAGATCCCATAATGGAAGGAATGGTTTCCCACAACAAAGACTTATCCAACCCAAAACATGAAACAGAGAAACCCTGATAAACAGACACTTAGCATATGACACAACAATTCCCTTCCTTTTTTTTTTTTTTTTTTTTTGAGACGGAGTCTCGCTCCATCGCCCAGGCTGGAGTGCAGTGGCCGGATCTCAGCTCACCGCAAGTTCCGCCTCCCAGGTTCACGCCATTCTCCTGCCTCAGCCTCCCGAGTAGCTGGGACTACAGGCGCCCGCCACCTCGCCCAGCTGGTTTTTTGTATTTTTTAGTAGAGATGGGGTTTCACCGTGTTAGCCAGGATAGTCTCGATCTCCTGACCTCGTGATCCACCCGTCTCGGCCTCCCAAAGTGCTGGGATTACAGGCTTGAGCCACTGCGCCCAGCCAACAATTCCCTTCCTAAGTATTTACCTAAGATATGGAAACATGTGCACGGAAAGTCCAATGAATCAACGTTCATCACAGCTTACTTCAGAACAGCCCAACCCCAAAACACCCGAAATGTCCATCAACCAGTGAATGGAGAAATTGTGGTATATTCATATAGTAGAATTGTCAAAGGCATCTGAACCAGAGTGACTCCATCTTGAGTAGGGGCTGGGTAAACTGAGGATGAGACCTGCTGGGCTGCATTCCCAGGAAGTCAGGCATCCTGAGTCACAGGATGAGACAGGAGGTCAGCAGGGGTGGTATCACAAGATACAGGTCATAAAAACCCTGCTGAGAAAACAGGATATGGTAAAGAAGCAGGCCCAAACCCAACAAATCCAAGACAGCCACAAAAGTGGCCTCTGGTCGTCCTCATTCCTGGTTATATGTTAATTTTAATGCATTAGCATGCTAAAAGACATTCCCACCAGCGCAATGACAGTTTACAAATGCCATAGCAATGTCTGGAAATTACCCTATATACTCTAAAAGGGGGAGGAACCCTTACTTCTGGGAATTGCCTGCCCCTTCCCTGGAAAACTCATGAATAATCCACCTCTTGTTTAGCATATAATCAAGAGATAACCACAAATATTATGCAGTGGAACAGCCCGTGCCACTGCTCTGTCTATGGAGTAGCCATTCTTTTGTTTCTTTACTTTCTTAATAAACTTGCTTTCACTTTCACTTTACACTGTGGACTTGCCCCGAATTCTTTTTCACACGAGATCCAAGAACAATCTCTTGGGGTCTGGATCAGAACCCCTTTCTGAGAGCAGAATATGACCTAGTAATACAAATAAATTATTCCTATACAGAACAAAATAAATTAATCTCAAAAGAATTATGTTTAACAAAAAGAGATTAGTCACTAAAGATTATCTACAATATGAATTCAATTCACATGACATTCTAGACAAGGTGAAATAACAGATTGGTAGGACATAAGAGAACTTTTTCGGGAGATGGAAATTTTCTCTATCTTGAGTGTGGGGTGTTTACATGACTGTATATATCCTTCAAAACTCATCTAGCTATGTTTTAAAAGTATGAATTCTGTTGTGTGTAATACTACCTCAGCAAACTTGCATTTCAAACATACTATACTTGAATGACATGGCAGTATGAAGTCAAATTCCTATAAGTTTCTAAAGGCTTACTCTCAGGGTCTGCGGTTATCTCCTTGTGAACTGGAAACTGATAGTTTGTGGATCAGCACCATTCTGAGCACCACACTTTGAGGTACACTGATTTAAACGATATAGAATATGCTTATATATATATATATTTAAACCCACAAAGTTAAGACGTTCCATAGCAAACTCTTACATATTCTAAGCGCTGATTCATAGACCCCCCAGGAATCTGCATACTGCAAGCTGAGAATCATGACTGGGAAACAAAATATAACCCCTAACAACAGCACCAAAGGCACCTCACACCGGGTGCTGGGCCCACCACCTCGGATTATCCACAGTTCTCTAAACGTCACATGTCCTTGTCATAACATAGCGGATCTTCCTAACACTTGCCCCTCTCTTAAAGTAACCTCTCATGGTCCTCTAAAGCTTCACTGAAGTATTCTGACTGTGAGATTCTTCCTCTGACCCGGAATCATTAAGTTTACCTTCATTTCCCCATCACAAACACACTGTACATATTTCTATTAGCAACTATTATATTTGTAAGTCTCTCTCCCCATCTAAACCTGAGAGTTCTGAGAAAACAAACAGTCCCTATACAATGTCATACACAGTATTGATTACTCCATAAATGATTTTTAGACATATATATGTGCTAATGAGAAGAACATGCGCTTCCCATGTGGTGGATTCTTTGAGTCATTCTCACAGCACAAAACTGAAGATAT